TTTATAAACTTTTTCTAAAATTATTGTTTTAAAAAAGATGACCGACTAATAAAACTATGTCTGATTTGAACAATTTCTTTTAAGATGTAAAAACTGACCTTTGGGGATATTTTGAAGCCATGGATTTCAATAGGGGTTGTAAAAAATAGTAAAAAAATTGTGACAGTAAAGATAGAATTGAATCTATGCCATAGACAATTGGCCTGCCAGGAGGATTTTCTAGATTTTTATGAATTTTTTGGCAGGACATAGATGACTGGTATTTTAGGATGTTCATTTAAAACGAGTATTCATTTTTATTTAACACACTATTATTTAATCCTCCTTGTAAATATAGTTCGTATTTAGTTTTTATTTATGTGGTAGGATTTTGATTGAGTTTTTACATCTTGTAGCTGTTTTCTGATTTAATGTATGCCTCTTTATTTAAAATAACTACCCCTCCACCCTTGTCCGCTGTTTTAATTACGATGGAGGGTTCTTTTTTGAGGTAGTTTAGAACTTTCCTCTCTTTAAAGGAAAAGTTTTGTCGTATTTGGATAGCGGTTTTATTTTGTATATTTCCTCTAAGCATGCTTTTTCAAATACTTTCATGCTTTGAGATTTTACGAATTGTGGATAAAACGATAATTTTTTCTTAAAATTAGTGTGTTTGATTTTAATACCATTTTCTTCATTATTATCGGCTATAGTTAATACCGCATCTTGATTTAAAATTTCATCTCTATTATAGAATTTTTAAAGGCATCATTTTCTAGTAAATCTATTAATATCAATAAAAGCCTCAAATTTGTTAAAGGAACAGCGTGGGGACTGCTATGTCATAAAATATACACATAAACAATAATATCAATAAACATTTCCTTTAATTTAACTAGAAAATGTAAACAAATGTAATCCAGAGTTGACTTAAGTGAACACCTGCATAGCAGTTTTGGGTTACATTTTTAGATATACCCCAAGTTTTTAAATTAGAAGCCAGTTAGGACCATATGATGTGTTTATCTTAATTAATCAACATATGAATAAGATGAAAAGGTTGACATTAAACATGATTCGTTCTCCTGCAGTTTCTTGAAAGTGTTGGCTTTGTCAATGTTGACGCTCAGGACCGGACAGATCAATTTGTACAAGTCCTTAATGTGGAACTTAAACGGACGCAGGAGATCAAGGAGGACTTTTTAAAGGTAAGGGCTCTAGCAGCAGTTATGAGTAAGACACGTCTGTATTTTGTGATTGGAAGAAATACTGGCACTTTTTGGGTTGTTGGGACCTGACTTTTCTAAAGCTGACAACATAGCCTTTTTAAATAAGTATCTAACCTTTTTTTTTCTCAACCTTATCTTGCTGTAGAGTTTCTCTGAAGAGGACTATACCTACATTATTGATGGTTGGAAAGAAAAACTGCATCGTTGCAGTCTGGGAGACCAGCGCTGGGGCTTGTTCTATGCAGAGAAACCACGTGACACAATCTTATAATTAATCACATTCCTACTCCATTTTATGACAGCACCTTTGGCAGAAAAACAATAACCTGGAAAAATGTTATTAAACAAAATTGTTTTATTTATATAAAAATGTATGGATATTTCTTGAAAAGAAAGTGTGTTTAACAAGACTTCATGTGATTTCAGTTAAATAAGCTGTGTATTCTTTATGACGCATTGTATTAATAGTGACACTGTGTGGTCATTGTTCGCATTGCAGACAATTCTGGAAATCTGTTGCTAGACTGAAAAAGAAACATGTTGTAAGCTACCATGATACAGGTTCTGCAGCTTTGTGACATATACATTCAATTTTTTATATAACCACCTGGCAGTTTTAAATTAGTGAAAGCAATGGGGAAACAAACATAAACTTTTTAAAAATTGATAGACCTAATTTGGGAAATTCCCTGGTGAGTTTGGCATTCCAGCCAAGCAATTGCAACATAGTATCCAGGCCATTATACAAGAAGAATCCTGAAGTTACATTTTACATTGATGTGTCATTAAAACCCCATTGACAGGATTTAATAGTACATCTAAGTATGCCAGAGTGCAGCCCCCACAAACCTAGCTTGATGCATTTCACTCCACATATATGCATATGAATAAGCACCGTTGAGCTGTGAAACGCATCATACTAAGTTTGTAACACACTTGAATTTAGAAATCAATGCTATCCGACTTGGGCAAAAAAAAAGCAAAATGATTGCCAGAACTAAATTAATGGTACTTCTAACTGTGTTGCATAAATAGCCACTATTATTAAAGGACTAACTTTAATTTTGTACTTGTCTACTTAAATTGAACAGTAAACTACACCTTCTGAATGAGTAATGTGCTTGTATTGATATTTCATAATTCAAACCGAGCCTGTGGGAAAGATATTATAACAAGTAACTGGTGAATAGCTTAGAGCTAAAAAAAACATGCTTTAGAAAGAGAGAGAAAAACCTTTTAACTAACTTACTGATCTATGAGTTTGTCCAGCAGCTGGAAATAGTTTTATCTTTACTGTATACGACATTGTACTCATGTCAAGAAATAAAATACAAGTACATCTTCTATTAATTATGCTGTCCGACTGTTACTGTTTAATTAAAACAAAAGCATATTTCTATTTTAAGCAGGGCCAGATTAAGGGCCCATTGGGCCTGGTGCTGACAAATATGATGGGCCTAATTACAGAGTCTTATCGACCAAAAACACTAAAACAGTCATACCTCCTAAGTGTCATGTATCGATGGAGATGGTACTGGAGGGAAACTCATAGGATGTAGTTTAGTAAAACAAATACCCTATGCTAATCTCTCTATAATTTATGCTTTCATCAAGTAAATCCATACCACCTAACAACAGTGTCCAGTGAAGCAGGAAGTCATTGCCCCTGTTGCAAATCATGTAACCAGAACTGCTGAAAGGGGCGAACATGCCCAAAGAGGGGACATGTCTTCCCAAAGAATTGAAAGGCGATCCTGGCATGAATGCATGTCAGGCTGCCTGCAGATCATGCAACACCCTGAGATTGACATTAATGCGTCAAATGATGCGCCTACTCCACGCTTTCTATGGACTGTCCCCGATGCACTTACATGTCCATTTGTTTCCTTGCCTTCTTACTGGCAGGCAGAAGCTCCTTGTATACAGTCTGGGACAGAGAAGTGTATATAGTAAGTGTAGAAGATAGGGGACATGCCACAGTGTTAGAGAGAACAAAGTCACCATTACATTAACTAATTTCATTGTCAGCCAGTCCACACAAGTTTTGTTCCCATACATCCCTCTTAAGTTTCCATACTTAAGCAAGAGTATGTGAAGGGTAGAGAAAATATGGCCACAGATGTAAGAAAAACCTACACTGTTGCCATTAAAAGGTTACCGAGGTAATAGTGGGCATGAACCCTATTAACATCAATACTTATAAAATATAAAAAGTGAGGTTAGGTCTCCAAATGAAAAATAGATGGGACCCACCTCTATTGTTAACCCCGTAAGGACTGCGGACGGTTCAGGACTGTCATCTGCATTTTCCCATTGCCGACCGCTGACGGTCCTGAACCGTCCTAACGGTCTTAGTTACTTACCTGATCGCCATCGTTCCCCCGGCGGCGATCGGTGTTGTTCCTGTTGTGGGGAGACTGCCTGCAGCCCAGACAGTCTCCCCACACCGGATTAAGTCCCCTGTGGCCACGTGATCGCTCAACACAGTGATCACATGGTCACAATAGGTGTCCATGTGTCTGCCTGCAGGGGGACTGTCTGTGCTGACAGGCAGTCTCCATGCAAGTGTAAAATCAGTAAAAAAAAATAAAGTTAATGTTAATTAAAAAAAAAAAAAAATGATAGCCGGGGGGAGCAGAACAGGAGTTCAGGAGGAAGGGGACTGGGCAGATGCAGAGGGGCGAAGAGGACAGATGGTACTTAAGATAAATATAAGACGGCTAATGCATCTGGCTATGGACAGGCCCAGGCAGGACTATCATCGCGGGGGAAGAGGCTTTACTGACAGTTCTCCAGAGGGGAGGGAGGAGCACCTAGGCCTTAGAGGGGGGAATATCCAGCCCTGCAGGTGGGACTATAGGGCACTAGAGGAGATCAATGGGGGTGCACTAATCTATAGAGTAGCGGATAGGTAACCCGGACTTGGCCTCCTTCTTTAGTTGTCATAGTGGAAAGGAAGCCCAGAGAGTGAGGGTGGGAAGGGTATGCGATATCATGGATACGGGATGGGCCCGAAGGGGAGGAAGTTGCAGATGGTAGATGAAGTTAGATACTCTGGGGTTACAGTTGTTAATAGATGATTGGGTTAATCGGGATAGGGTGTCGCACAATCGATCACACTAGTAACCTCCAATAGCGTTACAGCGTTAAATGGGTTTAGGTACATGGTCCTACGAAGCTCGCGGACACAGTGCGCTGGTGATTCACGGGATCGTACTCCCCAATCACACCTGGCGATTGGTAAGACCAGATGGTCTTTGTTGTGCTTACCAGTGCGCGATATGAGCATATTACCTGACTTTTCCTTCTACGTTTCCTTTCTCTCTCTACTTATTCGGGGCGGGGGCGCTTGCGGGGGGCGGGGGATCGAGGGGGCGGGGGTGATTTCTCCCATAGCATGGGCCTTGGAGGGTTATCATGACAGTGAAACTCACCTCGCTGAATGTGAGGGGCCTTAATGCCCCGACCAAACGGCGCCTGCTCTTTCGAGAGCTGAAAAGAACTAAAGCAGATATCGCCTTTGTTCAGGAGACCCATCTACCCAAACTGGGACGGTTCTCCCTTAGGGACCATATCTACCCGGTCTCTCATGAGGCCAGAGCCCACTGTAAGCGCAACGGGGTGGCTATCCTGGTGCGCAGCAGCTGCCCACTGCAGATTACTGGGACGGAGGTGGACGGAGAGGGACGCTACATTATTGTATCAGGAGTGCTCTAATCCCATACCCTCCACTTGGTGAACGTGTATGCTCCCAATTGTCCAGACCCGGACTTCTGGGCAACCTTAAAGGATAAGCTCCGCAAGTTACCGAGGGGCATGATTATTGTAGGAGGGGATTTTAATGCAACGCCGAGCCCGGCTGTAGACAGAAGTACCCACAAGGGCTTGCTCTGGTCGCAGGGTAGGGGGGGACAGGATAAACTGCTGCACGAGTTTATCACAGGTTCGGGCCTGGTGGATGTTTGGCGGGCCCACCACCCGAGTGCGGTTGACTATACCTATTACTCGGCCCCACATGGCACCTGTTCCCGGATAGATTTCTTTTTAGTTAATGGTAACTGCCTTGCCCGTACCACGGACTCGACGGTAGGGACCATTACGTGGTCTGACCATGCTGAGGTTACGATTACCCTGGGGAATCTATGTGTAGCGACCCCCTGGACTTGGAGGCTTAACGCTTCCTTATTACGGGACTCCACGATTACAGAACAAATACATACAGAGATAGTGGAATTCTTTAAGGTCAATGACACACCTGATGTCAGTGTACCCACGATCTGGGCAGTCCACAAGGCGGTAGTAATGGGAACCCTTATACGCATAGCGACAAGAAGGACAAAATTAAAAACACAAACCCTAGAGAGGCTCCTCACGGATTTGAAGGGCGCAGAGCAGAGACACCAGACACATCCTACAGAGGACACACTGAGGAGGGTAGAGACTACCAGACACGACATACGAACCCCGCTGTTAGACGATGTAGCAAGTCCCTGATATGGACTAAACGATTTTTCTATGAAAAAAGTAATAAAATGGACACTATGTTAGCCAGGACGCTAAGGCCCTGACAGCAACGTACGCACATCACTTCCATCCGACATGCCGACGGGTCATTGAAAACTATGCCTGGGTAGATAGCAGAAGTTTTCCGTGACTTCTACCGGACATTATATAATCACACACCTGCGATCGCCCGGGGAGGCGCCCAGGAGGTGGACCGCACCGACAGATTCCTATTAGACTTAGGCCTACCGAAGCTCCCTAGAGGGGTAGGGGCACAGCTGGCGGCAGAGATTACGGACGAGGAGGTGGCCAGGGCGATCGGAGGGCTGGGGGGAAATAAGGTCCCGGGACCGGATGGGTTCGATGGCACCTATTATAAGACCTTTAAGAAAGAACTGGTGCCTCACATGCGAAAAATTTTTAACCATTTTTGGGAAGGGGGCACACCGACCCCAGACATGACCTTAGCTTCCATGGTACTGCTACCTAAACCCGATAAGGACCCGCTGATGCCGGAGAGTTACAGTCCCATTTCCCTTATAAACCAGGACATGAAGATACTAGCTAAGATAATGGCCGATCGACTTTCCCCACACTTGACACGTCTTATTAACTCCGACCAGATGGGCTTCATCCCCGGCAGTCAATTGTTTGAAAATACCCGTAGAAATATAGACCTCATCTGGAAGCAAACGGCTACGAACACGCCCACTCTGGCAGTCTCTATTGATGCTGAAAAAGCTTTTGATAGAGTGCGGTGGCAGTTTATGTTTACGGTGCAAAGACACTTAGGGTTCCCCGAGGAGTACATTACCGTGGTACAGGCTATGTATAGTAATCCTCGAGCACAGGTGCAGGTCTCGGGAGCACCGCTTTCCCCCTTCCCCCTGTATAATGGGACTAGGCAGGGATGTCCACTCTCCCCGCTACTTTTTACTTTATCCTTAGAGCCCTTTCTACAAGCGTTCCGGAAACATCCGAGGATCCACGGGGTGCGGGTGGGGGGTAGGGAATTATTTGTAGCGGCTTACGCAGATGACGTGCTCCTGACGCTTACGAGACCTGGTGAATCTTTGACAGCATTGAGGGAAGTCTTGGCACAGTATGGGGAACTTTCTGGATTTAAAGTGAATATGGCAAAGTCGAGCGCGCTCCCCATCAGGATGCCAAGAGAAGAGGTAGCCCAGATACAAAGAGTGCATCATCTAAGGATAGAGGCATGCTCTATCAAATATCTAGGGATTCATCTAACCGCTGATCCTGCTGAATTATATGCGTGTAATTATACACCGTTATGGCAAGCATTCATGAGGGACGTGGACAGGTGGATCGATAAGCCAATCTCTTGGATAGGGCGAATCCACTCTGTCAAGATGAACATCCTGCCGAGGGCCCTGTTCCTATTTCAGGCTCTCCCGGTCCCCTTGACTAGGGCACGGCTCGCCCCACTCCAGCGGGCGATAGGGAATTTTGTGTGGCAGCATAAGAGACACCGCATATCCAGATACATATTGTATAGGCCGAGGACGAGGGGGGGGCTTGGCCTCCCTGACCTGTACCACAACTATCTAGCGGCACAATTGGCTCAAGTGGCACTTTGGCACTCGCCTCCGGACGAGCGGAGATGGGTGGATATAGAGTCATTTATGATAGGGATGGACCTACCTCAATTTGTAATGTGGGTACCTAGAGAACATAGACCACAGATCGGGGTCACCTGTCCGGCGGTGCTGAACTCTCCACGGCTCTGGGACGCATGTAGCAGAAAATATGGACTGGCGTCCTGTCCCTCGCCCCTGATGCCAATATTACGAAACCGGGCGTTTGCCCCGGGAATGGCGGCTAGGAATTTAGAACAGGCAGGTCTGCAGAGACTATGCCACCTCTGCCGGGGCTCAGACATAGTTACTTTTGACGAACTTAGACAAGACAGACACCTCACACCGACAGACTTTTTCCGATATCTGCAGATCAGAGACTACGCCAGACAACTCCATATACAGGCCATAGCGCAGAGACCACTGACGTTTTTTGAATCTATGTGCAATTCAGAGTGCATACCGAGGGGACTCATAGCAAGACTGTACACGCACTTCTGCTCAGCTACGCGGGAGTGGGGGGAGCTGACCTACATTACACAATTGGAGCGAGATCTGGGGGAGGAACTTGAGGGAGAGGAGTGGCAAGAGATTTGGGAGGCCAGCAGAACCACCTCGATATGTGTAACATTACAAGAACAGGCCTTTAAGATGCTGTTCCGGTAGTACACGACCCCAGTACAACTATTTAAAATGCACAAAACCACCACGGACGACTGCTGGCGAGGGTGTGGGAATAAGGGGACCTACTTGCATATGTGGTGGGAATGCCCAAAGTTTAAGGGATTCTGCGGGGCCGTGAAGGACCTCCTGACCCAGGTTTTCTCTAGGGCCCCAGATTTAGATCCCTGGGTGTATCTCCTCAGCAGTTCAGTAGAAGGATGGACGAGACGGGAACAGACACTAATTCATAAGCTCACTTTGGCAGCTCGGAGAGCAATAGCATACACCTGGTTAAAACCAGAAGCACCACCAATGGCTAGTGTATACTCACGGATAAGAGAGGTGAGACTTATGGATGACTTGACAGCTAGACTACGAGGATCCTTGGGAACGTTTTGGAAGGTCTGGGGGCCATGGGATGAGAGCCCGCTGGGGGGATAGGAGGTACGGGCGAGCTAAGGAGGGGCAGAGTGGGGTGGGCATGGGCCTCACACCCTTTCCCTCCCTTGCAGCCTTCTCCTTGACGCCTTACTGCCCCGTCTGACTTATCTCTTTACTTTACTCTATTCTTGTCTTTACTCTTTCCTGTGGTTCGCCGCCGGGACCCTCACTAGTAGGGTACGGTGCCGAACTAAGAAGGGTACCACCTCGGATGCACCTAAATCCTGCGACAAAGCATCCTACTTATCTCTTGGGAGGCGGTGTAGGGGCACAGGGTACCTAGGCTATGGACATGGTGCTAACTTGTTCCTGTGATGAAGCTCTAATGTGGACATGTACCATGCATATGCAGGGATGTCCCTGTGATGTGTGGAAAAAGATCACGATAGCAGTATATATATATAAATGCTTCTGAGGGTGTGCAAGCTATAACTCTGTTACCCTCAAGCTATTCTGTACTATGTCTTAAAATGTGCTGTATTAGTTATCATAAGCGGGAGTGTTCTGAACTGCTCGTAATCGCTACTCTGGCTATACACGCTTAATGATTAAGGGGCACACATATATAAAATAAAAATTTAAAAAACGGGTGGGACGCCACTATATAAGGACTTTTATAGTCAACAAGCCACAGTTCGTTAAATTGTTACAGGCTGTTTTTATGAAAATACACAACTATACGATTCCTAACTAATGATGATATGTATACGTGTTATTGTACGCATTTGAATGGTGTTATATACCTTGTTGTGGTGTCGGACCTTGACATAAATAAAGAATAAAAAAATAAAAATAAAAAAAGATATATGTGTATTTATATATATATGATATATAGACATATATTAGATCTATATAATATATGTCTATATTTCATATATATATAATGTCATACTATGTGTATTTTTATATTAATATGTACATATATTAATATAAAAATACACTTATAATTAAATTACACACGTATATATATAATATATATAATAACTATATATAGTGTATATATATATTATTATAAAATATAAATAATAAGTAATTTAAATTAAATTAAAATTTTTAAAAATAATAAACATTTTAAAAAAAATTATATATCTACCGTATATACTCGAGTATAAGCCGAGTTTTTCGGCACATTTTTTGTGCTGAAAAACCCAAACTCGGATTATACTCGAGTCAGTCTGTATTATGGCAATTTACATTGCCATAATACAGACTGGGGGCTGGCAGAGCTGTTACTTACCTCTCCTGCAGCTCCTGTCCGCTCTCTCCTCCTCCGCGCCGGTCCGTGCAGCTCTTCTCTCAGCTCACACTGTAAGTCTCGCGAGAGCCGCACTATGACCCCGCGACTCTCGCGAGACTTACACTGGGAGCTGATCGAGGTGCTGCACGGACCGGCGCGGAGGAGGAGAGAGCTGGCAGGAGCTGCAGGAGAGGTAAGTAACAGCTCTGCCAGCCCCCCTCCTCCCCCCACTGAACTGCCAAATCCACTGGACCACCAAGGAAGGAGAGCCCCCCTCCCTGCCATGTATCAAGCAGGGAGGGGGGACAAAAATAAATAAATATAATAATAAAATATTAAAAATAATAATAAAATAAAAAATAATAATAACAAAATTTTAATAAAACAAAAAAATTATTAAAATAAGTAAAAAATAATAATAATAAAAATGCCCACCCCCCACCAAGGCTCTGCAACACACACAAACACACACACAAACACACTGCACTCATACACACTGCACTCATACACACACACTGCATTCATACACACACACTGCACTCACACACACACACTGCATTCATACACACACATACACACACACACACATACACACACATACACACACACACTGCACTCATACACACACTGCATTCATACACACACACTGCACTCATACACACACTGCATTCATACACACACTGCATTCATACACACACACTGCACTCATACACACACACTGCACTCATACACACACTGCATTCATTATATACACACACTGTAAATATATATTCAATTAATATAATTTTTTTAGGATCTAATTTTATTTAGAAATTTACCAGTAGCTGCATTTCCCACCCTAGTCTTATACTCGAGTCAATAAGTTTTCCCAGTTTTTTGGGGTAAAATTAGGGGCCTCGGCTTATATTCGGGTCGGCTTATACTCGAGTATATACGGTATATGCAATTTAATTCTAACTGTATTTTGATATTTATATATATATATTTATATCAAAATACACTTAGAATGAATTTGTATATATATCTATGTACATATAAATAAATAGAAATAAGGCGAAATATACATATGTCCATATACATAATTACATAAATAATTATATAAATATACACGTAGACTTCAAATATATAAATATGCATATATATTTAAATTCTACGTGTGTATTTATGTAATATTTTCACATAATTAAGTAATTTTATTGATTGCAATTTGAGGGACCTGCCTGCCAACCCAGGCCGAAAGTCCAGAGAATTTAATTTGCTAGCACTGTATTTTACCCTGTAACGTTCCCTGTGTTCGCTGAACACAAATATTAGTGATTCAAAACAGTAAAACATATCTCAGCGATGATATTGTCAGTGAAAGTGACGTTTTTTGCATTTTTCACACACAAACAGCACCTTTACTGATGATATAATTGTTGTGATATGTTTTCCAGTTTTGAAACACTAATATTTGTGTATAGCGAAGTCTCCCGAGTAAAACAGTACCCCCATGTACAGGTTGCATAGCATTTTTGAAATTTACAGGGTCAAATATATGGGTCAAATATTTTTACATTGAAAATGGCCAGGTTGGTTACGTTGCATTTGAGAGCTTTTGGTAGCCCAGGAATGAGAATTACCCCCATGATGGCACACCATTTGCAAAAGAAGACAACCCAAGGTATTGCAAATGGGGTATGTCCAGTCTTTTTTAGTAACCACTTAGTCACACACTGGCCAAAATTAGCGTTCAATTTAGTTTTTAACTTTTTTCACACACAAACAAATATGAATGCTAACTTTGGCCAGTGTTTTCGACGAAGTGGCTACTAAAAAAGACTGGACATACCCCATATTGAATACCCTGGGTTGTCTACTTTAAAAAAAATATGTACACGTGGGGTGTTATTCAGAGATTTATGACAGATAATAGTGTTACAATGTCACTATTTATAAATTTTAAAAATGTATGTTTTGAAACCGCAATATCCTACTTGTACCTATAGCCCTATAACGTGCAAAAAAAAAGCAAAAAGGCACGTAAACACTGGGTATTTTTAAACTCAGGACAAAATTTTGAATCTATTTAGAAGTTTTTTTTCCATTCGCTTTTGTAGATGAGTAAAAAAATTTTCAAGTAAAAGTAAAAAAACATGTATTTTTTTAAATTTTTCATCATTTTGTTATTATTTTTAAATTAAATTACATGAGATTATATAAATAATGGTATGTAAAGAAAGCCCCTTTTGTGCTGAGAAAAAAACAATATATAATTTGTATGGGAACAGTAAATGAGAGAGCAGAAAATTACAGCTAAACACAAACACCACAAAAGTGTAAAAATATGCCTGGTCGCAAATGTACAACATCGCAAAAACAGTCCGGTGCTTAAGGGGTTAAATTACCTCTATTGTAAAAATATCATAAATGGTAAGAGAATTTATTGAAAACCAAATACACAAAACAAACATATCCATGTATAAAAGATGTGAATACAACCCACCGTGTGTAACAAAAAAGCACAGCAATACACCTGTAGATACCTGGGTTAAGAATAATCAAATAAATGTGTATATATATATATATAGATAGATAGAGAGAGAGAGAGAGAGAGAGAGCGAGCAATTCTTGTGGTGTATACTATTGGTTAAATTAATCAGAATGTGTAGACAGATCTCTCATATTTTAAATCAGGCTTAGAGTATAGTAGGAGCATTCATCCCATGCTTCTGTCTCAAATATAGATGACAAAGTGTCATAATAATTAGACGCTGAGCATACTGTGTCCAAGTGACAAGTTCTCTGGTCCATAAATGTGGCTAGTCTTGGCTGCATGCAGTAAAGTGGTCTAAAGTGACCTTGTTAGCAAAGAAGGATAGCTAATATGAATAGTCCTAATGGTAATTATAATAGCGATGTCTTAGAGGATATGCTGTAACGAGTTTAAGAGAAACTTAAATATAAAAAAACAACAACAAAAAAGGGGTAAACTTGTTTAAACAGCCAAACAATATGGCAGTGTTGAAACCATTTTTAACTTGTGCAAGGTGATACCAAGCTCTCAACCCCCACAGAGTAGATTGACCAGCTGCCTGCAAAGTGCAAACTAGAGGCTATAGTGACTATCTAGCTACCACTACTGCTTGAAGGCAGCCTATAATCACCATCAAGCTAACACTGCTGCTTCAAGGCAGCCTATAATTCCCAGATTTTACTAATAACATGACGTAAAGTCATGATTTTATTAATGACACGGAGGCGAGTATTATGCTATCTCTTTCTTACTTTATTCCTCAGCAGCAAAGAGAAAATATAACTGAAAGAGAAAAAATGCAAAAATATGAATAACATAATAACAGATACAACCAGATCTGCCTAGTAACAGGGCAGCCAATCAGCTTATAGGAACAGTCCATAAATGTCTTGCTTAGTACTTCCACTTCCTCTTCTTTGCCTTCTGAACCGAAGACCCAAACCAAAAATATCCACATCAGGAAAGAACAATCGCCAACAAGGTAGACGTTCTCACAACGAAATCAAGCTGTAAAACAGAGAAATAGGAGGTAAAATCCAAACACCGTATCTGAATGTAACATATCATAACAATTTGGTCTGTATAACCATATACACCAACTACCGGAATAACACATATGTAATAATAAACAGACCACACTTAATCTCATAATATCAAGAGAAAACCGTGAGCACTCATCGTGAGGTAGAAACCCCCCCCCCTGATTTAACCACAAGCGTAGATCCATCCCATACCCAACGGGTGGGTGGGTGGGAATAATACTCGCCTCCGTGTCATTAATAAAATCATGACCTTACGTCATGTTATTAGTAAAATCTGGGAATTTTATTAATGACACGGAGGCTCCTATTATGCTAGTTTAAAGCTGAGCCAACACTAACGAGGAAACATGGTCAATCGGGCGGAAATAAAAATCGCGGAACGTAGATTCACTAGACCAATCCACTGCCTTCAAGATATCATCCAGACGACATCCCATCATAGAAGCTTTTGATGCCATGGCGCCTCTGACCGAATGGGCTGAAAATATTGAAGTATCAATCCCCGCAGCGGAAAGAAGATTCCAGAAAGCCAAGCACTACGTTAACATCCCAAAACGATGAATATCTGGATCTCGGAGGCCTAGAATAATGAATACCTTTTAACCACTGACACACAAAGGAATGTTGTCCAACCGGTGATCCGTCAATTCCCAGATGTCCGGCCGAGATGGCCGATCTATAAACATTAATAGTGCGGTGGGCCAAACCAGATTCAAAAAGTGTAGTCAGAAAACTGAGCACCTCCTTCAGAGGGGCAGAAAGTGGATCCAACAGTCTTCCCACGCACCAGTCAGACCACACACTCATGCAGATTTGTAAGCTGTTCTGGTACCCGGTGCCCAGGCACTTTCCAGGAGTCTTGTAGTAGCTTGCGGAACGTCCGCGA